GGATGGAAAAACCACTCATCTATGAATGCTAACTAAACATCATTGGTTAGAAACCCTGATTTATTAGTTATTCTCATCATGTAGAGCCTAATGCCCCGCTCAATTAATACAACAAAATTATATATTTTGTAACATAAACTGATGAAATGGGATTTAATACCCCCTGTTACTCTATATATTATACTATATATTACAATATGATACTTTACATTAGGGGCCATCCATAAAAGACGTCACCATTTCCCTATACCACCCTTGAAAAGGACGTCATAAAATCCTGAACCCCTCCCCTATTTTTAACTCCAAAAAAATTTATTTCATCTCGCAATGATGTTTGAATCTGCTGCTACACCTTTGAAAAATAAAATTAAAAATATTCTCATGCATTATCTTCTTAAAAACACATGGTTACGTAGTTTTCCATGTTAATTAAACTAAAATAAAAAATCTATAAAGTGACGTCCTTTTCTGACAAGCTCCCCCCTCCCCTTGTCCTTTTTTGTCCTTTTTAGCTCGACCCCCGCCCCCCCCCTCTATTTGGATGACGTCCTTTATGGATGGCCCCTTATATCATATTATATGATAAAATGATGATTTATTGAAAATATTTAATAAGACACTAAATATTATATATTTTTTAAAGTCCTTTTCATAACTTAAAATAAACTTTATTTCGCAACGGTGCTTGTTATTTTTTCTTCATTAATTTCAACAAATCTTATAGTGCATAGCAAGTTAAGTAACTCTAACCCAGTGGCGGATTAAGACCTCTTAGGGGCCGGGGCTATTTTTGTTTTTGGAGGCCTTTTTATGGGCCAGAGCCTAAAAATAATTAAAAAAAAGGTCCTTTAAAATAATCGGGGGCCCCTAAATTCCAGATCAAGGGGGCCGGGGCTATAGCCCCTCTAGCCCCCTTGATCTGGCACTGCTCTAACCACTAGTATATAGTATAATATTCAGCAATTTTCTTTTCTTTCTTCAAATCCACAAAATCTAAATAGTATTATTAGGAAAAAAAATGATTGTTTATTAATTTACTTTAAATAATTGTCCAGGGTTTTAGAGTAGTATATTATTTTAGCATTGCGAAAAAAAAATCCTTGCACTATAAGTCAGGTTTTAGAGTTGACAAATTCGTATAACAAAAAAAAAGGCTTTAAAGAATGTTGGCATAAATAAAAAGCACTCTCAAGAAAAGAATTTTCTTGACTTCACATTATCATTGTCATCTTTTTTAATTCATTTATAACAAAAACAGGCCCACTATTTCAAAACAGGATAAAGAAAAAGCCGCTGCATTCCCAGATCAAAGCAGATCTACATTGTGTACTCTAAATACCTTACAGTCTTTACCCAGTGTAATTAGAAGAAGAGATTTTTCTTTTCTCTTCCATGCACTGCCAGCAAAAGCCAGAAATGATAAAGGAAACGACAAATAAAACCTAGGTTATTTTACTTATAATTTGAATCTTTGTCTGCAGTTCTATTTCAACATTCAGCATTAATAAAAAGTATAGCGACAAAAAAGAAAATTTTTGTATTATTGTATGGGAAAAAAATCTTTTTTTAATAACTTTGACATTAAATACCTTGTTTATTAAATAACATTTTTTATGTTAATAAATTATGTTATTGAAATTACTATTACTAGAGGTCTAAGAGTTGGCTATGTAGTGCCATATTTTCAGATTATTTTAATGCATATTAAAAAAATGCATAGAAATGCATAGAAACCTAAATGTCGTATATTGTTTTTTATTATATATTGTATATTTTGTCGTATATTGTTGTATATTGTTTATATATATATATATATATATATATATATATATATATATATATATATATATATATATATATATATATATATATATATATATATATATATATATATATATATATATATATACATATATATATATATATATATATATATATATATATATATATATATATATATATATATATATATATATATATATATATATATATATATATATATATATATATATACATATATAGATAGATGGCTTTACTTTTAAACTGAATGTGGAGCCTCAATGCAATTTTTGAAATATCATAAAAACGTCTTTTATTAGGCGACTATTCTAGGCACAAACAAATTCAAAAAATAATGATTTAGTAATTGTTTTATTGCTGGTTAGTCACCTTTTTAAAAAATTTTGTTTTTTCAACTTTCTTGGTTCACCTCAAGATAATTTTTTAGAATATGGCAGCTTTTACAGAGTTACTGATACCGATAGAAAAATTTTGTTCCCACAGGCAAAATAAAATTAAAAATAGTTTTAAGTTTATTTTGGTAGGTCACTTTTTGAAAATTTTAAAGTTATTAAGGTACCGCAAGATACTTCATAATGCATAGCAGTTTTCTCAGATATGAATGAACAAATTTTGCTAAACAGGCAAGACAAATCAAAATATATCCTGCTTTTATCTACTAAAAATAAATCAGAAAAAAAAACTTTTTTAAAAAAAAAAGTCATAAATAACATTATGTAAAAAAAAATCTTGCTGTAAAATGGCTTCTATTTTCTAATTTTGATTTGAAGAAGAACTCAAAAAAATAATAATAATTTCAATAAACTGTTAATTTTTTTTTTTTTTACTTTATTGGTAATTAATTTAAAATATTTTAAAACCATTTTGATTGAGTTAAATACTGACTGAACCAAATGCAACTAGAATTTAAATTAATTTGGTGCAGTGGTGTAGTTGTAGAGCGCTCACCTCATAAGCGAGAGGTTTCGAGTTTGATATTATGCAAGCCCCTGATAGCACCGCGCTCAACTTGTTTCTCCGCACATAAAAAATATCTTAAGGTTCAAATTTTTTAATAATGTTAATAATGAATATATAATTTTTATATGCTATATATGGCTTATGCCATATTGGCTCGGAACTATTTTACTAGTTTTTCGGTTTTTATATAGACTTAACTTTGCCAGATTTATTAAATTTTCTATATGTTCTATAGATTTATTAAATTTTCTATTTCCTACCAAAATCAATTAACGCAATTTTAGTATTTTCGAAAATATTGCGAAAAGAAAAAAAATGTTAAAGTGTTTTATTTTATAAAAAATGATCAAAGCTATAAAAATTTTGAAAAAGTAAAAACAACTTTTAATGATAAACCAAGTTAGGCTAAATTAATTTTATGGAATATAAATTTCATTGAAAATCTGAGGTTTAGTATATTATATCTCTCTGTCTCATAAAAAAAATTTAAAAAAATAAATAAAAAATCAAAAAACACAACCTATTAGCGGAATTGAAGTCATTTTGAAACAATGTCTGATTATTTTTTTATGTTCCCAAATATTAGTTAGACCTTGTTAGACCTAAAATATTAGTTAGACCATGTTAGACCCAAATATTAGTTAGACCTTAGTTAGACCTTGCAGCGTTGTCCTTGCAGGACGGCCCTGCAAGGTCTAATTAAACAAAAATTCGTAGAGCGGCTAGACACCCCCTAAATACCCTTGGGACGGCCCTGAGACCTTGCTTTTAAAAAATAAGAGTTTTTTTAACTAAAGATTGTTAACTAATTGTCAAAAAAATGAACAATACATATGTATATATATATACATATATATATATATATATATATATATATATATATATATATATATATATATATATATATATATATATATATATATATATATATATATATATATATATATATATATATATATATATATGTTTTCTTATATTTCCATATCTTTTTTTTTTAACATTCATACAAACACACAGGCTTAATTAATATTTTTAAACATTGTGTTTGACTCAGAGCGTTAAGAATAAAAACAGGCACCTCACGTGGTGGCCTAGTTCCAACTGCAGTCGTAAATATTTTTATAAGTTATTCTTGCAAAGTGAACTGATGATTTCGCTATAGGTTGTTTTTTTAAAACAACTATTTGTTATTTGTACAAGAAAAACCTGCACAAACAAATGTGTTGTTTTTTATTTTTTGTTTTTCATTATATTTGAGACCTTTTAACTCATATTTTGCCGTTAGACTCGCGGTTAAATACCGATTTTCACGGTTTATCTATAATTCTCAAGGTAAAAGCGCTTTATGCTTTAATCTGACTAAAAGTTTATCTTCTTTTTTGTAAATTTTGTAAACAAACAATTTTCGGGTTTCGTGGAATTTTATTAAAAGTACTAATAACATTTTTTTTTTAACGTCACTAAATGTTTTTTTAAAGTCACGCGCATGAAAAAGCCGATAAACGGTGCAAAATTTTTGAGAAACGTTTTTTTGACACTGTTTGTAATTTCATGCATATACAATACGTTTAAAGTTGAAATTTATTTTTTCAGTTTTTTTTTTTAAAAACAATGACACAATAATGAAAACATTTCAAAGTAAAACTAGTTGGTTAAAAAAAGTTTAAACAAATTTTCAATCTTTCAGTTTATTATTTTTTTTTTTAAATGATTAGTTTAGACATGTTTCAATTTATTTCGAGTGTAAAGATAGGTTGTTTATTAGGATATATGCTATTCCTGTGTTTTAAATTTAAAATTAAAATCCCCGAAACATTACACCTCTTTTTACGTCTGCAAATTTTACTACATCTTGTTGAAATTTTCTTTAAGCAATCTGCAATTTTTAATTCACTTTTTTTTTTATATTTAATTTTGTGTAATTTTGTTAAAAGTTTAAATGATTTAAAAAGTTTTGAAAAATGAAAATGGAAAAATAAAATTAAAAAAAAAAAAGAAAAATTAAAAGAGCAAAAAGCAAAATTAAAAAATCGTAAAAAAATCGTAAAGCAAAATAAAAAACAACAATAAAGAAAAATTTAAGGAACGAAGTTAAGCCTTTACTTATATATAAGTTAACATATAATAGACTTTAAGATGCATTTTTAATTCATAATAGCTCTCATGCTCAACAACACAACTGAAGTCAAAATTTATAAAAATATTAACAAAATAATAAAAAAAATTAATAATAATATTACTAGAAGGAACTCCATGTTTTTAAGCTATCAATAGTACTGAATTAAACGAATATGAAACTATTTTACTTTAGTTTAAAACTTTATCTGCTGATTGGTAATCTCAATATTGTGTGTGTGTTTTTTTTACTAACCTATGAATTCCGATTTGGTATGCATTAATAATATAAAGTGCTTCGATACAATTCGTTAATTTGGTAATAATTTCAATTTTGTGTCTTCTTGAGGTCATTTATGTTTAATAGACGTTACAAAAACTAAAATAAAGCGCAAAGTTTACATTTTTAATTTTTAATATTTTGCTTCATTATTTTAAACTAGATTCGTTTGTTATTACCTTTTGAAGTAGACTTTTTAATTTTGAAATTTTCATATTCAAGTTTATCTTCAAACTTAGTTTGAATGACTCAATTGAATCATAAACTATTAGACACTTTGAACTCTGTCTAAGCTTGAAAATTAAATATTTAAATCATCTTGACGCAAAAAGTTAAAAATTTTTAGCTTATTTTAAATATTCTCAATTTAAATTAAAAAGTAAATTTTAAAATACTCTCATAATTTTAAAATTTACACAATAAAATACTAATAATGAATTATTAGACTTTCAAGAAAAATAAAAAGATAATGACTATGCTACAGTGAAGAGACACTTGGAATATGTTGAATTAATTACAACATTTCTTGACTTTTTAATGAAATATCGAGGGCAGGTTCTAATAATGAATCACTCATAAATTTGAATAACGAAATGTCTTCGAAAAATAAAATTAAAAAACCTTATTAATAAATTAAACAATTATAAGTAATTTTTATGAACTACTTTTATTCAAAACATTAATCTAAACTAAAACCAAAATGTAATCAAACATTAAAAAAAAAAAAAAGAATAACAATAATATTTATAAACAATTTTCTAAATAGTGCATTAATGCCCAAATATTTATAAATATTGTAAATATTTCAAGTGAAATTTTATACTTCTACAACTCATTTAATATATATTTCGATGAGAAATATTCATCATCATCAAATATATATTCATCATCATCAAATATATATTCATCATCATCAAATATATATTCATCATCATCAAATATATATTCATCATCATCAAATATATATTCATCATCATCAAGTATATATTTATCATCATCAAATATATATTCATCATCATCAAATATATATTTATCATCATCAAATATATATTCATCATCATCAAATATATATTCATCATCATCAAATATTTCTAGCGGAGTATTGCGCTTTAAAAATTGTTATATATTTTTCAAACGCAAAAAAAAAAAAAAAAAAATGCTATTAATATGCTAAAATATATAAAATATGCTAAAATATATTTAATTTATTCAGGCCACCTAAAATATGATAAAAATATTTTTGTTATTATTAGTCTTTAAGAAAATCATATTAGTATGCATATTGCTCTCTGTTCCCCATTTTGACCGCCAGGATAAAAGTTGTGTCACTCAAACAAATTATGGTTAAATATAACACTTAGGACCATAGAAGTTGTTTACAATTATTTTTAAAATCACAATGACTATGGCACATAGTTTTCTTAAACTTTTTAAAGTGATTATTTTTTTGTTTTTACTATTTCTTTTATTTTTTAATTTTTTTGTCTGAGTATTTTTTTTTTACACAATCTGAAAGATTTTATTTAAATCTAATGATAAAATTAAAACAACAAATCATTTTGACTATTAAACAGACAAAAAAATTCAATATAAATTTAAATATATGACAATTACACTCAATTTCTTGCCATTTTTGAAGTTCATTATTTGCGCCATTTTTAAATTTCAAAGATCGAGAAAGATATCTTTCTTAAGCATCTGCACGTTCTATTCTTTTTTTATCTCATATGTATTTTTTAATAATCTTTTTTATAAATGACTTGTTTTTTTATTTGACTATTTTATGTTTTTTATTTAAGTATACATATAATATATTATACATATGCTATACATTATATGCAATGCATGACTATCATTATATATCCTTATATAAAATGCTATCCTTATTTAATTGAAAATAAATCTTTAGATATAAAAAAGTATCTACTTTATATATTTATAATAATGTCAACTCCATCAGTGTGTATACAATAAATTTGTTGTAGTTGTTGGGAGCAATTTGGAATAAATTCAAGGTCTTAACATTACGTAAATAACACAGTGAAAGAGTTGATGAAACTATATGTGTTTCATGGATATTCGAAACTAATAGAAGATTTTCCAACAAATATATGTTCAAGTTGTCGTAGAAATTTGTATTTGGTCAAGACTGGAAAAAATCCAAGAATGGCTTGGGTAGAAAAGATATCTAAGGTAAAGATAAAATTTATTCAATTCTTTTTTTAAATAAAGTTGTGCAATGGAGGTATATTTGTAATACCTAATCTTAGAACTTTTATTCTGTTTCCATTTTATCTCACTTAATTTATATTTATAAAAAAAATTTTTGGTATAATATTAGTTTTTAAGAATAATGGTACATCAAAATAGTTTAATGAGTTAGTTTTGAACTTATGTTTAAACGAATACGTTAATATTAATATAAACTATATTTCCAAGATCGATTGGGCAAAAAAGGCTGGCAGGATGAATGTTCAAAATAAATCTGAACCGGAAACTGAAATCAAAACTAAAAGGATTCTAGTTTAAGACTGTTTTTCTAGCAATGGGGCAGAGTTACCTGTGGTAGAAAATTAGATCCCATGAAATATTAGATCCACTACCGTAAAACTCAAAACGAGAATGCGTTTTCAATATATTATCTTTAGAAATGTTCTTTTGGAACCGAATATTTATATTAAGATTACGAAAGACGAAAAGAAGAATTAATATTTGTTTAAATTCTTAAAAGTTGTTGTAAATATATTTGATCCTGAAGAGATAATGTAAACTCTGGAAGGTTTTTTAACAGTGGAGTTCAAAGATGCCAGATGCTTGAAATTTCAGAAAATGTTTCAGAATCAAATTACAATTTACGACTTATTCTAGAAAAACTAAACTTGCAAAATGTTCAATTCAATATAGCCTTTCATTTAAAATGTGCTTATTTAGTATTTGGTTTATCATCTCATGCTGGTTTGAGAGCATGTCTTTGGTGCGAGAGGCTCTCAACAATAGAGTAAGGAAAATTAAGATCTCTTAAAAGCTTCAATTATCGCTACTCAAAATATGGTGTGACTGGATTTAATGAATCTCTTATTAAAAATTGTATGAATGTAATAAATCTTAGAGTTATCTACTTAGATCCTAAATCTTTAATACAGTATCTTGTAGCTCCACCAGAACTACACCTTATTATAGGATTTGTTTCATTACAAGGAACTCTTTTATTAGATCTATGGCCTGGTTTTGATGATTTGTTGAAATCAAAAAATATTCTTTATAGAGGTTACCAAGGTAGAGGTTGGGATGGCAACAACTCAAATGAGGGGAGGGGGGTTGGTGAGGCGCGAGGCTCCCGGCGATAGCCGCAGCAGGGAGTGCGCCAGTGCTGCGCCTGGGTCTGGGTGGGAGTGGGTGATCCTCTTTTAGAGGAGAGGAAAACTGAAGAGTTTTTTCTATTTCCCTGTTTTTAATGAGTTGAATGGCTTATAAAAGGCAATTCATTGAAAGTATAATGATTAGGAGGATAATTCAATGATCATTCTAAAGTATTTATTTTTTCTACATTTGAATTATTTCAAGAAACAAATCTTTCTTCTGAATAAAAAGCATCAAAAATTACATAAATAAATCATACTACTCCTATTATAGAGATAATTGAACCTAGTGAGCTAAAAGCATTCCAGGTAAACAAGCTATCTGAAAAATCTGCATATCTTCTGGGCATTCCTGCTAATCCTAAGAAATGTTGAGGAAAAAAAGTTAAATTTACTCCTATAAAAGTAATTCAAAAGTGAATTTTACTGAAGGTTTCATTAATAACAAATCCAGAAATTTTAATAACAAATCCAGAAATTTTTCCAAATCAAAAATAAAATCCTCCAAACATAGCAAATAGTGCACCAAACGATAAAACATAATGAAAATGAGCTTCTACATAGTATATATGTAATAATTTATTATGCAATAAATTATATAATGAACCATTGGCTAAAATTACATCAGTTAAACCTAAGGTAAATAAAAATATCAAACCAATAGCTCATAACAAAGGTGTAGATGAATTAATTTTTCCCTCATACATTGTTGCTAATCAACTAAAAATTTTAATCCCTGTTGGAATGGCAATAATCATAGTAGCTGCTGTAAAATAAGCTCTAGTATCAACATTCCTACAGTAAACACGTGATAAGCTCAAACAATTAAACCTAAAATGGCTATAGCTAATTGAGCATATATTTTACCTAAATACCCAAAAACTTGATTCTTTGAACTAAAAAAAAGGAATAATTTGCGAAATAGTTCTAAATCCTGGAATTATTAAAATATATACTTTAGGATGACCAAAAAATCAAAATAAATGCTGATATAACCCAGGATCTCCTCCTCCAGCTGGATCAAAAAAAGTAGTATTAAAATTTGTATCAGTTAATAACATAGTTATTGCTCCTGCTAGGACAGGTAAAGCGTGTACACGAAATAAATGTGAAAGTAGAAAAATAACTAAAATAAAGTACTATTTAATTTTTTGTTTCTAACCAAGTAATAACTTTAATACAATAATATAAGAAGATCAAATATAAAAAAAAAAATCAAATTATTCCTGTGGGAATCTAATAAAATTTCGAACTTTTGCTTTGGTGGTACCCATAAGCTTCCGCACAGAATAAGAATTAAAGCCATTTGATGCTTTTTTAAATGATATTTTAATATCTTTAATATTTCTGTAAAGTTTTTTTGTTTTTTTTCATTTTTCTTTTAATGATGGCCCAGTACTTTTCAATAACTCTTAATTCTGGGCAGTTTGGAGGATTTTCTGTTTTAGGCACAAATTTCACATTATTATTTTTATACCATTCCAAAGCTAGTTTACAATAATGAATTGAAGCTAAATCTGGCTAGAACACAGGTCTCTTATCGTGTGATTTAATGAGAGGTAAAAGGCGTTTTTGTATACACTCTTTAACATATATTTGACCCAAAAGTGTGGGCTGAGAAATATAAGGTGCTGATTTTTAGCCACAACTGCAAATAGCTTGCTAAATCAAGACTTTTTTAGCAAACTTGTCGTGTTTTATGTATTTAAATTTCTTATCTGCTTTCCTCTA